CCACTATTTCAAAAGTATTCAAGCTGCCCACCCACATTCGAATGCTGAATATTCATTGTACACATACATCGTATACATACATTGCACCAATTTGGAGTACATATTGTATATTGGTGTATACACCCGTTTAGAATCGGAATATTGAACTTTTTCTTGGCTGAGGTCCTTCAGTAGATGTGGTTCAACAAATTTCTAACCAAAAAGGAATTTTGAAAATGTTGACCCTAAGGGCTGTTTTCGCTGGTTGAGGCCCATTTCATCACTCTGCATTTGTATCTGTACAGCTCACCGCTTCCTGCAAACGCCGGCTACACGGCTGGCCCATTTGACCCACCCCCATTCCCATTTATGTACTGCTCTGGCATTGGCGCTGTTCCCAAAAAGAATGGCAAGCTACGCTTGATATACCACGTGTCCAGCCCTTCAGGCTCCAGCGTTAACGACGGGATCCCTGCCGAGCCTTTTTCTTTGCAGTACATCAGCATTGATGAAGCCATTAACATCATTATGTCCTCCCCGTCTCCTGTCTACCTCTCTAAACTCGATGTGAAGAGTGCTGTTCGTCAAATACCTGTCCGCCCACATGATTGGCATCTCCTCGGCATCCTGTGGCAGGGGAAGTACTACTACGACCGTGTCTTGCCATTTGGGCTCCGCTCTAGCCCGGCGGTATTTGATGCCGTGGTAGCCACCATCGAATGGATAATGCACCACGAAATCTCCATTCCCAATTTGCTGCATTTACTGGACGACTACTTGTGCGTGAGCGTGGGCCGGGCAGTGGCGAATCGGCAGCTGGCTATTCTTCTCCGTGCATTCTCAAACTTCGGCCTGCAAAGGTGGAAGGCTCGTCTAGTACCCTGACATTCCTGGGCATTATCCTGGATTGTGAGAAGATGGAAGCCCGGCTCCCCGACGACAAATTGGCTGACATCAAGCGCCTGTTGACTGCAGCGAGCATCAACCCCACCATGTCCCAGCGCGAACTCGAATCTCTTCTGAGGAAACTCTCCTTCGCTGCAAGAGTCATCGTACCCGGCCGGACATTTATGCGGCGCCTGTGGTCTATTTGCAGTCACTACCAGCAGCCTCACTACCGCATCAGTCTGACTACCGAGTGCCAGGAAGATATCCAATGGTGGCTACGGCTACCAGAACAATGGAATGGAAAATCATTCTTCCTGTTCCCAGATTGGACACCATCTCCAGACTTGGAGCTGTTCACTGATGCCTGCGGCACCCTGGGCTGGGGCGCATTCAACAGCGGCCGCTGGCTTCAAGGGACCTGGTCACCTGAGCAACTCGCTCACAGCATTGAGTGGAAGGAGCTCTACGCATTGGTCACAGCGTGCTGCACGTGGGGCAAGGAATGGTGCCAGCTTTGTATCACAATGCACTGTGACAACAAGGCTGTGGTAGATTGCATCCGCTCTGGCACATCCAAGTCCCTGCTAGTGATGACCCTGATCAGGGAGCTGTTCTGTGTGTGCGCCCGCTTCAATTTCACCATCACTGCTGCTCACATTGCTGACCAGTCTAACTGCATTGCGGATTCGCTGTCTCGTTTCCGCATGAAGGAATTCCGGCGTCTCGCCCCAGCTGCTGAAGCACAACCAGACCGAGCAGTGCTGCCATTCCAGTCGATGTAATATAGCCTTGACATACAGGTACCGCTTGTCATTGCTAAATTGCCGTAGTGAGAACCTGCGTTGGATTTCATCCATCTGCATCTGCATTCATCCAGCTTCCTTCAACTGGTTGCTTTGCTGCTGCTATCTCCGCTTAAAATTGCATACTATTGGTCGGCTGTTTGCGACGTCAATCAGTAGTCATTGCACCCCGGTGCGGGTACTATTGCCGCTCAAGCATGAGCGATTTCTTTGGCCGTTTGCAATGCCAATTGCTTCACTCTGGTTGGCTGTTTGCAACGTCGATCAGGAAACTTTGCACCCGGTCGCGGGTACTGCTGCGGCTCAGTCATGACCGATCACTTTGGTTGCTTGCAACGCCAATCGCTTCACCAGTTGATCGAAACCAGCACACTGGTGTACCCCAATCATCCTTGTGCAGTGTTGTGAGAATACGTGGGTATGCATGCAGCTTTGCTCTGTGACTGCTCTGATGCATTCGGGTGCAAGCGCTAACGGTTGTTCTGCAGAAATCGGTGAAATCCGACCAAAGTTGATAGTTGGCGCCCTCAACTTGCATACCTTTGCGGTCTTAGAAAGGGTACGAACGCACCTCGGCTTGCACATGCACAAATACTTCCTCCACTAAGCAAAACTTTGTTGCGATTTTAGTGTTCTTGTCATGATATTTCTGTCGGCATTAGACATACATGTCAGTGATCTAGCCCCTACATAGGGTAGCTGAGTTGTCGTCCATTGTTCTGACACTCTTTTGAACCTTCGAAAAGTGTGGAGTCCTTTGAAAAAATTGGCGACGCAGAACCGTTTCTCGACAGGATGTCACCAGAACACAACCGCAGGCGCGTGCGCATGACACCAAAGTGCGAACATGAGAAACAGTTTGAAAGGCTGCGTGGCTCGAATAAGTGTCCAGTACCCGGCCAGCACTCAAGCACTGTTGTACTAGCACGAGCCGATGGTGCGCATCCGCACACAACCAAAATCAATGCACTTGTGTTTGCAGCGCAGGGGAAATCAAAAGCGTTCGACATTCAGGTTGTCATTCAGTCGGCGCAAAATCCTTATCTCAACGTCGACGACTCTGCGTTCTTCCACAGCCTGTAGACAGACATGTCACTCGTGGCGAAGAAAACCAGACAGGAGCTTCGGCAGGGCGTGGAAACGTGCGGGCACGACTACACTGCTGCGAAGATGGGGAGCGTTTTTTTGGGTCTGTATGGCTCCTTCCATGGGGTTCCGGAGATTGGCCACAACTACCAGCGCCACCGTGGAGGTCGTCAAGCTCACAGTTCGAGCGAAGAACTTAGCGATCTCCATGGTCAAAATAATCCTGTCTTGAAAAACTTATAAAGGCTGCGGAACAAAAGCTGGCAGCGCTGGCGGCGACAGTCAGCGAGGATGCAGACTCTATGTCATCAGGGAGTGATTCGTCATCAGATTCAGACGAAGAGTGAAGCTGGACTGCTTTGAAACGAGCTGTGTGACATCTGTAAATAAATATCTTTCATAATATGCTGCCTTGTTTTCCACTTTGAAAAGCATGTTCGTAGCCATATAATGATTTGGACTGAACTGTAAAAACGCAACATAGTTTTGCTTAACGGAGGAAGTAGTGGAACTGGTGCAGGGAGATGGTGTTGCACTTAGGTTAGATTTCATAGAGCACAACCGTGCCTTGCTGGTACGCTATATCTATATTGTGTGTGTAGGGATAGTATGGATATAAGAATAGCTATATTGTGTGTGTAGGGATAGTATGGATATAAGAATAGCTATATTGTGTGTGTAGGGATAGTATGGATATAAGAATAGCTATATTGTGTGTAGGGATAGTATGGATATAAGAATAGCTATATTGTGTGTGTAGAGATAGTATGGATATAAGAATAGCTATATTGTGTGTGTAGGGATAGTATGGATATAAGAATAGCTATATTGTGCGTGTAGAGATAGTATGGATATAAGAATAGCTATATTGTGTGTGTAGGGATAGTATGGATATAAGAATAGCTATATTGTGTGTGTAGGGATAGTATGGATATAAGAATAGCTATATTGTGTGTGTAGGGATAGTATGTTAGGTACCTCTTCCCGTACCTTTTCTAGCTGGCCTGCATGCACTCGCATACTCACCTTTTGTCTCCTTTTGTTCCGTTGGCCTGGGTAGCTACTTGCGCGCCCATAATTGCCATAGCTACCCAGGCCCTTTATCTTGGCGTTCAGACTTGATCTCTCTCTCTCTCTTTTCTCACTCTTATAATAATCACCATGTAGTCGTTTCGGTCGTCTTGGTCTCTTGTCCCGTCTCTAATAAATGTCGTTCCACCAACCTACCTGTTCCTGTTGTTATGTCTGGATAATGTGTCGTCAGTCGTCCTTTCTCATGTTCAACATTGGCGCCCGATTATTGACCCACGACCCTGAGATCATCCCATGCCCAGCCGTCCTCAACCGCCATTCGTCTCGTCTCGTCCATGTCAGTCCATGTCAGTCTCGTCTCTCCTACGCCAACCTCATCTCGTCTCTTTCAACCTCCTCTCCTTTGCCAACCTCGTCTCGTCTCGTTCAAGCCATGCAGGTCAGCTACCTTTCTCTCTTTCTTTTTTTTGTATGCGTTCCTTCTTCGTCAAATTTATTTTCGTGAATTTTTTGTAGTGTGTGTGCGCGCGTGTGTTCATAAAACAGTACCAAGTTAGGGGTCCGATCATGGTGAGCCACGCTCTAAAAAAGTGTAACTAGGCTGTATTTGCCGTGCAAATACTAGTAATTCACGTTCCTCGTCAAACTCCAATAGTTATTACACACTATAAGTAGTACAGGAATGATCTGTAGTGCATATTTAGTACACACTTTTGTGAGATCCGTTCGCGCGTGCAATATGTGTGTGTGTGTGTGTGTGTGTTTTTCTCCTTCAGTCATTTTTTTAATCTTTTTCTCTCTTTTCTCTCCGCGAGGACGCGGGATTTTTTTCATGGAGGGGTGGTATGTTAGGTACCTCCTCCCCTACCTTTTCTAGCTGGCCTGCATGCACTCGCGTACTCACCTTTTGTCTACTTTTGTTCCGTTGGCCTGGGTAGCTACTTGCGCGCCCATAATTGCCATAGCTACCCAGGCCCTTAATCTTGCCGTTTAGACTTGATCTCTCTTTTCTCACTCTTCACTAATCACCATGTAGTCGTTTCGTTCGTCTTGGTCTCTTGTCCCGTCTCTAATAAATGTCGTTCCACCAACCTACCTGTTCCCGTTGTAATGTCTGGATAATGTGTCCTCAGTCGTCCTTTCTCGTATTCAACAGATATAAGAAAGGACTTGCTTGGGTTTTTTCTTTTTCTTTTTTGGACAATTTTGCAGTTCAAACTGCCATGCGCAGTGACCTGGACGGAAAAATCAGACTTACTGCTGTATCAGCTGCCGTGGAAGGCCAGATCAGGGTGAGTTTTTGTCACACTAGTATTGTACCGTGTTTGCCAGAGTGTAGTTCAAACTTTAGATACGCTATTTCAGGCCGTAAGTTGCTCGTGCACACTGCGCTCCAAATATGGGAATATGTGCACTTTCAAAGTAGTCTAATGACTATGGATCTCCCTGTAGTCAAGTAGTTTACCACATCTGAGTCAATGACTCTACACAAAACATATTCATACATTTCTGGTGTCTTCCGCCAGCTACACTGCAAATTCAAGATGTGCATGAAACACCATATGTTACACTTGCATTTACAGATGTAATTTTTATGAAAATGTTGGCTCTGATCACACTATAGTACTGTCTTTGTAATCAAAAATATTCGCAAATCACGACTGCGTAATATACTCTGGATATACCTTGAGTTGCCTTAAAGTTTGGCAAAATTAGGTCTGTGTATTATGCTCAGGTGTGCTTTATACTCTGGCAATTAGGGAAGTTATTTTGTGTTAGAATGCATACTGGCATGTTTGCATTTGTCACGCACCGCTACTTAACCCTTTTCGTGCCAGGAGCGCATATATGCGCTCTGAAACATAACGTGCTTGACCATGAGCGCATATATGCACAAAAATCGCGCATTCTCCCTTTATGGACTGCAAAATTTGTACAGGAAAGAAGCGACATGCAAAACTCAGTAATAACTCGAAATCGGTGTGCATTAGCCAATACACCACCATACATTTTTGGAAAGTAGATAGGATAAGCTGTCCAACATCATCCTCGCCACCGCTCTCGCTACTAGCAGTATCAGCAAATCCATCAGATAAATTGTTTTCTTGAATTTCTTGGATATCATCACTATCACTGTCCATTTCGAACTCGTCGTCATCAGACTCATCAAGTAGGTCGCCAGAACTGTCAAAACTTCAAACATTAGAGTTCCAGTTCAGAATCATGCCGATGGCATCGTCGGTATCGTCGTGCCGAATAGTACTCGTACTGCAATGTTAGTTCTGCATGCTCGCGGAAGCTCTCAATTTCGTTCTTGCGCGGCCGATTTCGTCAACATTTTGACTAGGGACCCCCCGGCGAATTTAGCACCATTGGAAAGATATGGATTTCGTCTTTCGATTTGTGTAAAAAAATATCGCCGAAAACGTGCGGTGCGCTCAGAAAAATTCGCGTTTCGAGTTTCGATCTTCTTCTTCTTATTATTATTATTATTATTAGATCAAAACTCGTACAGTCCGTCCACAAAGGGTTATATCGCAGTGCATATATCAGTGTACAAACTATGGTAAATCCGTGACACATAATGACAATCAATACACCAAAGGAAAGGTCTTGAGGTTATCTTTCCGAAGATACAAATTTCGTCGCTATAGGATAATGACTCATTGAGCGGCGACATGATGAACACCGAGATTACGGCCCGGAGCAAACGCGATTTTTTTGGTTTATGACTTCGCAGCTATTTGGAGCAGGCTAGGGGATTTCCCTTTGGCATGACGCATGAGTGATGGACATCAAATAAATTGCTTGGATCTCAGCTTTCCAGCGGAGTTCGAATCGTGAAAATCGGTTGAATTTGGGCAAGATGATGAACAAGAACGTGAAATTGAGCTGTGCCGTTCCGAGGCACGGTGGAGTAGTTTGGAGAGGAGGTGGAAGTGGCCCTGGTGTGTCTATGTTGCTGAGATCTACTATGATGGATTCGCTTGGTCCTGATCTTTCCAACGAGCCCAGGATGATGAAAATCCATCAGGGTGGAGTGAAATGAGAATAAATTTCGTTCAGAGCTGTGTGCGCAAACTACACAAAGAGAGTCAGTGCGCTGGACAGCCGGCCGATTGGAGAAAAGGGGCCCCAGCATGGCAAGGGTTAAGTGCTATGTGGTATTCCACTTGCATTGCCAATGCAAAGCTTTGCGCATGCCTAGCCTGACATCACATGTCACATGGATCTTCCATGCTAACGCCAACCAACATGGTGTCGTTCGTGCATGTGCATGACTGCTTGCTTGCTTTCGCTTTCTTTTTTGATGTTGGCTACACTGCAAAGTCATATTATTGGCAACTCTTAGCTTGTGCTAGAATCAGATTTTCATTCTCTCATCTCCACGCTTCAAAATCAGACTTCATTGATGGCTGTTGGTGCCTGAAACAATGTCGCCGTCTACTGTGGACTTGCTTTTATTAGCATCTGATTTTCTGAAATATATTTACGCTTCAAAATTCAGACTTCAGTGACATCTGTGCATGTTGGCTCAGAGATTGCTGTATGACATGGAGTACACAGCATTCAGATGACTCTGCCGCTCTCACCATGGGCATGTGCGAATTGCTAGTCGGCCCCTCGTCCACTTTGGGTCCATCTGGGATTTGAGAAGTAATTCAGGATGAAGTTCATTCTGCCATAACGGACAAGGTTGGAACCTCTGTCTTGCCGCAACCATGGACAGTACTAGCGTCACCAGCTGTGTTAGCCGACAATGGTGTGAGTGGTGCATACTCAACACCCTGCTGGCTGGGTTATCAAGATAGGTGCTTGGGAATATGATGACTGTGGGTTCATATACTGCTGGAACTTCTCTGACCTACTGTTGCCTTAGACCTTGCAGGCAGTTGATAACCATAAGTCTTTTTTCCTCAAATTTAGTTCTTCCGGTGATGCAATATCAGTTGAAGCGGTGGTGGGCACCATTCGCCCGGCTCGTGGACTTCTGCATGCTATCACAACTTGGTCGGCAGCAGGTTATCTCCATATGAATGTTGTGATTAGTAATGCACTTCCATCACACTGCAGGAAGGCTGTTATCCCAGTGCCTGGATTTTGCAGGTCACCAGGCAGTATTTCACAGAGGTTTTGTAAAATCAGCGCTTTTGAAGGCTTCTCGCTTCCCAGCCAGGCAAGCAATTTGATACCATTGACATAAATACTTGGCCACTCTGTATCCCAGGCGAAGCTAGGCCTGAATGTATGTCATGAAACCTTGTTCACCTGGTGTCTGCACACAACATGTGTCCTTTCTTCCATCTCGAAATAGCACACCAAGCCCAAACAGTATCATCTTCGCTGCTCACCCGCAACAATGCAGGCGCCGTCATCTACCTCAACCTCAATCTCGGCAATTGCATATGGTCAATCTGCCAGCTGATCTACATTTGCAACCGCTGTGACAAGGATCATCCACGTAACAAGTATTCCCGCAAAAGTTCAGCCACCAGCCGAGTAGTTTAACGGGATCACGATCCCAACATGAACTGCAAAAATATGTTGCATGCGTTCATAATCTTCCTTCCCCATACTCTGCTCAGTACATGTTAACGTGTCAAAATCAGATACTACTAGTAAGGCCCCACCTCATCCAGTGTATCTTGTGAAGCTAGGGATCAAAAGTGTGTTCCGGCATATCCCAATTCATGTGTTGAAGACCACCCGCTATTTGTCATATTCTGGCAAGGCAGTTAATAGTACTAACGTGCTCTAGCGTTTGGACTTTGCTTGAAGTCTGCCAATCTCTTTGATTCAGTTGCCTCAGCCATAGAGTGGATTGTCAGTAACCATTTCTCTAATGCCAAGCTTTGCAACTCCAATGATGATTTTCTACACATTTAAACCGGCCAAGCTGTTGCACAGTGTTAATTAGTAATCCTGCTGCGGTCTTTCCTCTATCTATTCGTGTCACTAGCGCCAGCAAAGGTGGAAGGTTCTGTGAGATCATTGACTTAACTCGGTATCATCCTGGACTGTGTGCGGCCCTAGGCTAGGATATTCATGTTGGTGTTGGCCAGCACAATCAGCAGCCAGAAAATATCCAACGCCAAGTCGAATCCCTATTGGATAAGCTCTTGTTTGTGGCCCATGTCATTCCTCCTAATAGAAACTTATCACTAGACCTCCAGACTACACACAGATGTGAGTGGCACCCATTGATGAGCTGCTTACAACGGGAAGTTGACTCAAGGTTCATGGAACAGCACCCACATGCTGCAGTCTATGGAGTAGAAGGATCTATATACCCCTTGTAGCAGCCTGCACTGCAAGGGGTAGCATCAGATTTTGCTGAAACGTCTTCAAGCTTCAAACTCCGAAATGTCATCATCTAGTGTAAATCGGATGCACACTGCTGGATCCCAGAATGTCACTGCCGATTGGCTTTCTCCTTTTCTTATGCAAAATTTCGTTATCATGCTCCAGTAGCCCAGCTAAACCCGGACCATGGTCATCTTCCTGTGTTCTTGTGATCGAAGTCACCTAGTAAACTGCCTGTGCAATTGCTGCTGATATCAGATGCACCAGACTCTGCCTGTGAATGTTGTTTTGCTGGTTTTGATCCCTTTGCAATCTGCAACCTTACTCAGCTTCTGATCCTGTCATTTGCTACCTTGCACTTTATTGCTCGCTGTGTCTGTCCTTGTGTGATATCTATTTACTTGGAAGATGTAAGAAATGCACACGTTGAACAGGGTCTAGAGGATCCCCTGGCCAAGACATGGCTTATCAAGGCAGTGTTGATGGTTGTCCAACAATGACATGTGATTGAGGCAGTGAAGCATATATTGCCCATAACCCTGCTTATTCTAAGGAAGTTTGTTTATGCCCACCAGCCCGTCCCCAATTTGGCTGAGCTTGACTGCGTTCTTCTTGAGTTTGCTGCATTTTCGACATCCGTCTGTTGCCAAGATGCTTCGAATTGATCGAGGGCCTGCGGACAGACTGCATCAGATTTGAATCAGGCAGCATAATCATACTGTTGAAGAGATCAAGGACTGACGCATCAGCTATCCTGGCAGCCACATGTCTCCAGTGTTGTGCAGAAGGCGTCAGTCGCCATCAGCCAGCTATGGCGCCATGGGCGATCTCTGCCCATAAGAGCCCGCTGACTTTGGTACATTGGCATTGTGCAAGCACGACTAACGTACGCATCCAATGCATTCTTCCCGTCGCTGACACAGCAGCTGCAGAGTCGTTTAATCAAATCCAGCAAATCCGGAACTCGTGCAATTTTCCGACTCTCCAG